TAATAATAATAATAATAACCACCACCACCACCATGTCAAGGTAGTGTCTTACTGGGGGGGGGGGGGGTAATAATAATAACCCCTTGGATGGTCCCATCAATACTTGGGGGTGGATATTGACTAAATTGGGGAACCCTGCTTTAGACAGATCTCTAACTCCCTTTCTTAAACAGTTGGGCCTTGAAAGAGACTCAGGTAAACTTTCACTTCATTTGTCTATGACCCCACAAACATTTCCCAAGTTCTAGTTTTTGATACGGTAGAGCGTAAGGACGATGACCTTGATGGAGATGTGCAGGACTGTTGCCTTGGCAAAACAGGCTGAAGCATTAAGTCCAGAACATCCAGATAACATTTAGCTCAGGCAGACGCCTCCCTAATTCACCCAACTATAAGAAGGAGGAGGAGGTACAGCACAATCAGACATGCAAGATTCAGTTATTATATCCAATCTCAATAAAAGTAGTTTTAGCCATCCTGTGGAGTTGATTTCCTGATCTGGTCTACCTAGTGGTGCTGACAGGTACAAAAAATACCATTCAACAGATTCAGGGAATCCCAAAAATGTGGAAGCGTGAGTTTAGAATAATTTTTTAAGCAGGCTCATTATTAGTGAGGACTGATAGGACTGTCCTCCCTAAATTTTCTTCACCTCTCCAATTTTTCTTATTAAATAGTACAGTTCAGGCTGGCTCAAATAAGCACACACCCCCTTATTTTGTCAACCTCCTTCCCCCCACCAAGATTTTTGGGCTAGCTAGAGGCCAGAACCCAAAAGAAGGAAATCTCTAGAACAGCCTAGTTAGGATTGAGTGAATGGACCCAGATCAACCAGGAGATATAATGGAATCAAATTAGGATGCCATACATAAGATGCACTTCATGCTGCAACACTGTGTTGCAGGTCTCACTTTTATAACAATAGCACCTCAAATTCCAAGCCCTGGTGCTTATTTAGCCAAAACAGCCCCACCAACAAAAAAATGAGTGATAAGAATTTAGAATGTCAGAACACACTGCTGAAGAATGGGAGTTGGAATGGAACACTGCCTATGAATGGCAGGAAAGAATTAGCAATGGAAAAACCATTGGCATTTATTTATTTATCAGTATATATATTTATTCTACCCTATGACAGGAATCCTCAGCACATTAGGGGAATTAGCTAATTTACTCACAGTTCATTACTTTTGATCAGGAACTGATTCAAGGTTATTTTCTGATAGGAAGAACCTGGCAAGGCAGTATTTGGGCCACTATGGTTTTCTTGAAAAAAAAGTAAGATTTAAAGTGCAATTAATAAATATAAAATACTGTAGATCAAGGAATCTTTGATGTCACACCGATGACTCCACCTGCTTAGTTATAAGAATGACAGAAAGAGCAAAGCATGCTCTAATTTATTACATTATGCAAAAAAATGGCATAAAAGAATTGTGATATCCAAATAATCTAGCCTTTGGCTCACGGAAAGAAAAGAAAATTGCATTTATGAAAACCTGCAGTAGAATTCAAACACGTGCACTTGAGTTCCCCAATATTGTGGGGACTTGGGGTTCTTCTTCACATGGCGATGGCACAATAGTGGCCTTCTTGGAACTAAACCCCACATGGCAAAGCTAATGTTTCGATGATTGTAATTGTTTGTCCTAGGGCAACATTCCAAAATTACCTCTTAGCACTATGGAATTTCAGACAAGCCTTCCACCTGTTCCACCCTGCCCACGTGACTCCAGTTATCCAAACATTACGAGAGCAACGTGGGTGCTACCTGTGAGGGACTGACTGTCACAGCATTCCAAAGGATCCTATGAAATTCTATAAATTCAACAAAGGTTCAAGAGATAGAAGTACCTTCACACCAAGAACTTGATCCTTCCAAGCTATGCCTTAAATTCTTGAAGATACATGTTAATCAACACTTTTGTTGGAAATCATGTGATTGATTCTTTTAATGTCTATGTCTAATGTAACCCCAGATCAGACTCGATGCCAACCAGGGGAGCTTTTTAAAAATCTCTGTATCCTTAAACTGTAAAACAGGAAAAGAGACATGAAGTTCCCCAAAGACTTTATCCAATTTTGGGTCAATCTAGGTATAGTCTATCCTAACTTGTTCACATACTGGAATATGATTCAAGAGAATTGGTGTTCTGTTCTTCCTAGGAGGATTCTTCCTGTAGTGTTTTATAAAAAATCCATTTTTCCTAAGATGTCTGAGATTCTTTTATTCATTAACTGAGAAATTGGTCAGAGCATGATCTCGGCAATAGAGCCAACTCCCCTATTTTTAACTACATCCTGTCCAGAATTTCTTAAAATTAAGATTACAGAAGCCACCTCTATAATATCTCGGTAGGGTGGAAGAAAGAGAAAGAGGAGAAAACTTTCCGTGTGTACAATGAGGGT